GAAGGCTATGGACAGTAGAGTCTGGGGACCTCTCCCCGAGGTCGGAGCCACCTGGGCTGATGCCTTTGGGAGTAATGGCATCACTTAAGTGACATAGGCTTCTATAATGCGAATCGCCTGCGAGGCAGAGCAGCCCAGGGAGGTTATGCTCCAACCTGTGACCTCACAAAACATCAGCCTGTGAATCAGGACATGTGAATCAGCTCCATCTAGCAGCTCCAGAAGTCCTCTAAATTCCTACACATAGCACCCCAACTAGAGGCGAGTGTAGTCATGTCCCCCTATTTCCTCTTCATTTTTGGTCCAGGATATACCATAAATCAACATGCTGTATATGGTGAGATATATATATATATAGAATTGGAGAACAAACTCAAGGTTTGGTGCCTGTTACCAAGAAACAAGGTGCTTTAGGAGGAGGCCAGCTCAGGTGCAGGTCCCTGGGCCACCCCACTCAGGGTACTGGCCAGGGGCTATAAGCATTTCCTCAGTGCAGAAGGGAACTCCCAGGGGGTGACAGATCCTCCTGGGTGGGACAGCGACAGTGCTGGGAACCAAGGAGAAGGCGGGCCACCACCACGGTGGGCCCTGCAGAGGCCTCGCAGCGCAGACCTTTCTCCCTCAGCACCTTCCGTTTTAAAGGTACACTCACTGAGCGACGGCCCTAGCGCTTCTTCTCCGATTTGCAGTGGGAATGGGGACAGCAGCTACAGAGTAGCCATCTGGGGATGGCCCCTCATTGGAGCAGATGGTAACTGCTACACAATCGCCCTCATAAGCCGTGCTGTGTTGGACTTTCAACGGACACTGGCCTGCGCGTTTTCCCGGACTACTGGAGCACATTACTTGTGTTCAGGAGGTAGAAAAATTAAAGTCCTGGACCAAAAATGAAGAGGAAATAGGGGGACATGACTACACTCGCCTCTGGTCGAGGTGCTATGYGTAGGCATTTGGAGGACTTCACGGTGCCACAGGTCCTAATTTAGTTTCCTTAAATTGATATTCTTGCTCAAGCCAGTATCTGTGCTGAGAAAGTGAATTTATGCAGTGGTACAAAGCATAAGACTTCATGTCTGGATCTGTCAAGGAGATTTTAATTTTGTTGGCTATTAGCACTGCCGGTCCTGGAGTATCGGCTGCATTTCTACCGACTTTGTGGGGAAGACAGGATTTATTTAGGGACTGCTCCTGAGCCTCTGCAGCATAGAACGGTGCCCCCAGGACATCCCCAACTCCCAGTCTGTGGGGAGGCTGGGACCCAGGGCCGCGGGGGCTGGCTCCCCTGTGACCCAGGTCTGTAGGATGCTGGTTCCCCTGTGCTCCAGGGCTATTGCGGGGCCTGGCTCCTCTGTACAGAGAACCAACCTACAAGTGAGCTGACACAGATCGAGCTGGGCCCACATAATCACAAGGTCCTTGTGGTGCAAGAGGGAGGCAGAGTGATGAGAGATGACAAGAAAGTCACTGCCACAGTTCTGGGGTGGGGAGAACGCAGGGGCTCGCGGCTGCCTGGGCTGGACCATGGATTCTCCCTGCCCCCTCCAGAAGCAGCCCTGCTGATGCTGTTATCCTGGTACAGAGAGGCTGTCCTGGATCCCCAACGCACAGCAGAGGGGATTTATATGCTCCTAGGTCACCTCTCAGGACACACACCCCAGCTTCCGCAGCACCTGCACAGAGCCTTCTCCTGAGCCTCTGCCCAGGTTTCCCTCTTATGAGGACATGGCTCACGTTGGCAACGACATCAGAGGCTGGAACCCAGCTCACCCTGGCCAGCCATGTCCAGTTCCCACGTGGCTAGAACCCTGGAAAGCCTTTTTCATTTCTCTAATCTTCAAAAGAGGTGAAAATCACCTGCCCTGCGGCACCCCTCCTTCTGATTCCTCAGGACAGCCTGACTCTCCAGTGCTGCTGACCTCTGTCACGGGCCCATGAGGACCAGAATCAGGTCAGACCCCCGCTCAACCGCAGCTCGGCGCCTGGCCATGAGCGCACACAAACCCAGGATGGGTGTCAGTGACACACAGGATCCAATTCATGCCTCCCAGTGACTGTCCCCAAAAACCCCTGAGGCAGAATCCAATGATTACCCAGAGAACACTGGGAAAAAGGAACACAAAGTTTTTCAAAAAACCCAAGAGGACAGCTCTGACCTAGGGAACTGCAGTCGCCGTGCCAGTCTCAGTTCCATGTGGACGAGGTGGCCGCCCTGCAACTGCCCAGCTCCTCCTCAGGCTCTGCTGCCATGGGAGGCAGTGCACACAGAAGGGCAGAGTGGCTGGGCCCAGCCTGGCCCTCCAGCCGTGGTGCAGGTGTCCGCTCAGAGTCTGGGCTCGCCTCCCTCAGCCCACACACTCCTCCCACCAGGCCTCCCTCAGCCCACACACTCCTCCCACCAGGTGACCTGAGCACCATCCAGCTAGGGATGGATCCACCAATGCCAGTACTCCCATTACCCAGCTTCCCACCACTGGGATTCCCAGCTTCCTGCCCTTCAGATCTCCTTGCTCACGTGTTTAATATGCTCAACAAACCAGTTCTCATTCATCATTTGCCTTAAAAGAACCTGTCTAAAAGGTATTGGAGCATTTTAACACAGCCACTCAGGTGACTTTGTCCATTTGAATGGCAGTGAGTCACCACTGCCCATAACGTCACCAATTCACCAGCTCCCACTCTGCTGACCTGCTCTGATTTTCAGAGAGGGGCCGCTGTGCCAAGTGGAACCCCGTGGCAACACTGAAGACCGGTCCTGGGCGTCCAGGTAACTGAGGGGATGCAGTACTGTGCAATCCGCCCTGCGAAAATCAGGCCACCTCAACCAGGCACCAGTGGGCAAGAGGCCCCAGATGGGCAGAATCTTGCAGCAGGTGAAGAACAGGGCACAGGACCAGGCCTGCTCCCTTAACTGACTGCAGACTGAGAACCACCCACACCTGCAAAGGTGCCTCCTAGTACCAACACCGCCTGAGACCTCCCTACCTCCCTGTAGAGCAGGGACTGCATCTGGAGGGACACTCACTGAGGAAGGAGGGACAGCCGGCTTCGGGCAAGCCAGCTCCAACACCTCCCGCACAGCACAGGGGTGCTCAGTGGGCTTCCCCTCATTCTTGGGGCGCTGGGGAGTGRGCCTGGTGCCCACCCTCCACTCTTTGCTCACAGTCCAAAAACCAGGGACTGGAGTGGCTCCAGAGCTCAGGGAGACACTGAGGTTTGCCCACTGCCTATAAAGGATATCCCAAGGACACAGATGACCAGCCCAAGAGAAGAGACCCTCAGGGCAAGTTGTATGGGCAGGGCGAAGAGCTCCAGGGCCCTCAGGTGGCCACACTCCAGCCTCCTGCGGGCAGCAGCCAGGGAGGCTCCACAGCCTGCTCTGGGGTTTTAGGAAGACCCAGAGGCAGGACAGCAGAGGTGCCCACAACTTCCCCTCCTRCTGCACCCCTTCCCAGGGCAGCAGGCAGGGTGACTTCACCAGGCACCAGCTCCCACCCCAAGGTGGCCTCATCAGGACAAGAGGCTCTAGCACCCCAGAAAACACCAAGTCAAAGGCCACATACAGGAAGAAGAGTCCAGGATTTCAGGAGGTTGGTGCCAGGAGTGGAGCAGAGCCTTGTGTGCACTTATCACGATATCACAAGTGCCACCCGGTTCTGGGGAGAGCCCCCACCCAGTGGCCAGTGTGCACCATGTGGGCAGATGAGATGAGGCCGAGGGCAGGGGTGGGGGCCATGGGGTCCCACACAGGGGATCTGCAGTAGCACAGGCAGAAAGGGCTGGGTCCGCACATCTGCTCTGCTCTCGCCCTACGCGGCGAGTCCCCGGGAGGGAACCTGGCTCTGCCAGCACAGGGCAGTGAGCTGGGGCACACAGCATGCCCCAAAGACACCACCACACCTCTGCAGAGCAGACTCTTCCTGAAACACTTCCCTTTCCTTCCCTCCTTCCCCAGCAGGCTCACACCTCCAGCCCCATGAGAACCATGGCCGCCCGCTTGCCGGCCAGTCCCAGGTCACATCCCCAGGGCTCCTTCTACGGCTCTTGTCCACTCTGTCCAACAGCGAGCGCCTCACCATTGCCTTCAGGTTTGCTGCCAGGGGCTTCACGGCAGAGACTCCCGCTGGAAATGGAAAGGCTGTGCCAGGCAGCACCACACCAGGGCTCCTCATCTGACACTGCCTCATAGGAATCGAGAATCCTCACAGAATCTCTATGTCAAGGCTGGACCAGGGCCGACGTGGACAAACCACTCAGAGAACTCATCTGAGTCTCATGTTTGAGATGCTTTTATAATAAAATTATACCAAAAACACAGCGACACACAGTGAATAGCTTAGTGGACAAACTCAGAACCCCAGCTAGGTCAGCAACATAGGAGTCGGCCACCAGCCCCGCAGCTCAAGTTCACGGTGAGTGTTTAATTATTTGTTACACTAATTCTGTTCACAAGAGCGCTCTCCCCCAGCCACCCACAACCAGCCTTCAGTCTCACGCAGACCCAAAATAAAACTAGAGATTAGGACTGTCTAGGCAGGATCCAAAACACCCCACAAGTTGTTCTGCAGCTCGAGATAGGACACGTGGCCATAAATAATTACTGATACATGTTCCTGCTTAAAAACAAGTCACGTCAAAAGTTTAAGAAATGTTTCTTGAAGCAGCAGATGAAATATGCACTACGACTTGCCAAGGACGTGGCGATGGCAGGACGGTGGCTCAGGGAGAACCACGAACAGGACTCCATGAACCCCACCCCCACCCCGCACTTGGCCTTGCTCTTAAAGACCCCACCCCCTCCTCAGAAGTAAACGCTATTAGTTTTTCAAAAGGGCGCTCACAGGGTTGTGGGAGGGGATGAAGTATGGGAAAGCGGGCTCCAGCACCGTGGCCTCAGGCCCCGGGGTCTTAGTCTGCATGTTCTGGGGACCAAGAGTCCTCCTCTCAGGACCAAGAGCCCTTGGAGACAGTGCCACATGCTTACACCTGCTTTTTGCTCCGGGAGCTGGGTGCCAGGAGGCAGAGCTCAGGAAGGCACTCACCAGCTCGAGGGGCAGAGGGAAGGGGAAGGGTGTAGACGGCACGCGAGCACAGAAGGCCAGTGGCCAGCCCACAAGCCCACCCAGGCCTGCCCACTGTCCCACACTCAGTCCAGGGCCACAGCGGCTCTCAGATCAGGCCCGGGCACTGGCAGGGGTCCCATCTGCTCTGGATCGTTGCCGGTCATACTTCACAGAGACGATGAGGAAGAGCAGGAGGGTGGCCCCCTGGACAGCGGCCAGCAGGAAGAAGTAGTAGTTCAGGTGACAGCCGTTGATGTTGCCTGGAGGGAGGGAGGGAGGGAGGGCGTGAGATTTCCACACCTGGTCCCTGCATGGGGCTATGGGCTTCCACCCCACAGGCACCAAGAAATGGCAGAATCCGTGTCCCCAACACAGAAAGCCTACCCCTCTGCATTCAAGCCCCTAGGGAAGTCCCCACAGTGGTCCCCACCACCCAGGGCTCTGCACCCTTGTGTTCCTCCTGTCCCACCCACCTCCGACCCTGATGACACAGGTGGGGGGATGCCTGGCTGAGGGACGCAGCGGCAACCCAGAGGTGACCCAGAGCTGGCTGCAGCTCCCTGGTACCAGGGACTGCCACCCCAGGCTGAGCAGGTGAAAAGGCAAGGGTGAGGCAAAGCCGTCAGTCATAGCCAGCCTCTGAGAGCCAGCAGGAGGTAAGGGGGCCCTTATTAATTTTCTTTTCCTCTAAATCAAAATTTGACTGAAGTATAAAACATCGGCTTCCTCTGCCTCGCCCCCARAAGCATTTGCTCCAGCCTTCTTCCAAGGGCTCTTCTGTCGCTATGAAACAACTTAGAAGCCTCTACRTTCTGCCCAAGACCAACATGGAGATGGCGTTCTACTGAAGAGTGCCTGGTTGCTCCCACACCAAGCCTGGGCCGCCACCTGTGCACTTCTCAACACAAAGAGCCAGGAGTTGGCTGCTCAGGCCCACGTGCTCTAGACCATTGCCAGGTCCCTGGGAAACCCCTAACGTGCACCCTTGGTAAGCCGGGCAGATACAGCAACGAAATTCCAAACACCATAGGGACACCAAGTTTGTTTCCAGAACTTCCTCAACACTTTCAGGTTTTAGTGCCTGCAAGCTGACACTCTGCTGGTAAATCTGCATCCCTGACGCTAGTGTTAGCGCCCACTGGTACGCTGACTACCGGCTTTGTCCCAGGCCATGTGGCTTTTAAAACAGTGCTGAACTCCCAACAAGTACCAAGAAGACAGGACCGTGCAGAAGAGAGGACCACACAGGTCCAGAACCCCCGATTCTGTGGACCCGCAGTCACCCCTTGAAGAACTTGCAGACCCCTGGCTAATGCACCCACAGAGAAGTGGCAGGACATTGGCTTGGTACAGCCGCATGGCAAGGGGCACTCGAGCCTCAGTCTGTGCCACCAGGGCAGCACTGCCTGTCCCCACAAGCCTGCAGGGTACGCAGCAATTCCCAAAGAGACAGGGAAACAGGCATGCACGGCCACTGAGGCCGTGAGGACACAGCTGCCTGCAGAGTAAACTGCTTCGCTTTCCGACAGACTCACAAGCACAGACTGATTTACTGACTGAAAAGCAAGACTCCTCCCTTCCCAAAGGCCTGTGTTGGGTGATCCTGAGACTCCTCCTTCTGCTCTCTGAACAGTTCACGAGGACCCCAGGCCTAACAGTGCAGTGATCAAGTTAACATGATGCATAGGGACAGCGGGACAGCATGCGTGTTTACGTAAGTGCTGATCCACAGTTTGAGGAAACCAGAGTTTCCCGAGTGTGAACTGCTAACTCTTTAGATTTCTGACAGACACAGTGCTATTCGACAGGCGCTATGCAGTATGGCCTGAGCCCCTGCCATAGCCCAGGCTCCACCATGGGCACCTGTAGACGGAGCCTCGCCCACCTGCTGGGGCCTGGCACTTGCTCAGTCCTAATCCAGGAGCAGCACTGATGCTGCCTCCACCAGGAAGGTCGAAACACCAACGAAGTCACTGATGTGCCAGTTCTGAAGTATGAATCTTCCCAAAATGCTTCTAGAGCTCAAAGCTGACAGGCCAAGCCGAATGTGCTTGTGTCAGCCTCTGTGTGGGGACGTCAGAGCCTATGGCAGAGTTCACACCAAGCCGTGCCAGGACCAGCCTCATTCTGGATCATGCCAGGCCCTCAGTGATGCACCCAACATCTAAGAAGCAGTGCCACCACCCCCAGCCCCAGAAGCATGGAGGACACAGGGAATCCTGGCCCTGTGGTGATGGGTGGCTATGTGCAGCTGCTGCCCCTTCTAGGAACGAAGTCTCTCCAAGGGGGTGCACTGCATCTTGCTCTCTCCAAGGGGAGGAAAAAGCAGCAGAGTCAGGCCCAGGACCTACAGGCCACGCCACAGACTGACCTAAACTCCCACAGGCAGAAAAACAAGAAGCACCCGTGAGAGCTGAGAGCAGCCAGAAGGGGTCAGAGAGCCAGAAACCAAGGGAAGGACAACACAGTCTACTCTCTAGGACACAAAAATAAACAGCGGCACAGAGACTGCGCCTTAGGACCCAGAGCCTGGTCCCCAGGAAGCCTTTGCAGGAAGTCTCCCACGTGCTCCAATCACAGCACCTGGAGCCTGGGGCCACAGGCCTCACGTAGGAGCGGCACCGGCCACCAAGGGCTGCTCACGCTCCAGGAACTGAGAGGGAGAGAAAAGCCCCAGGTCTGCCCACTACTCTCAGAACCAATGCATAGCACTGGACAGTCGGCATCTGTGACCACTGAGACGACAGCAGCTTGGACTTCTGGACACTTCGCCAGGACCTCACAGGAAGGAGTTTCAGTTCCACTTCTGGAGGGCTTTGGGGCTCTGCAACTAACAGAGAAAAGTCCCTGAACTGCCATCGATTTCCAGGGGATGAACAAACCACAGTGGGTAGCACCACTGAAACAGAGCAAGCACTCAAGCAGGAGGGAAGGCAGGAGGCTAGGTGCAAACAGCACATTGAAAACACAGGAGAAGAGGGAGTCTTCACCCCCACATCTATTATGAATCTGGAGAAAGCCAAACTCTGACTTTTGAGTGATTTTGTTCAAAACCCAAGATGCCACCTACTGGCATTAATTGCAAAATCCTATTATGATTGATCACGAATAATGTGTTTATTAAGAAACAAAAAGCAACTTAACTACCCTCGTCTTTTTAGTATCAGAAAACAAAAGTATTTGTCAAGAAAAGGAAAAAAAGTACATAAGATCAAGTTAAATAACGAGAACTTGTGACACGGATTTCACTTCCCCCAGAAGCAGTTACAGACAACAGGGACCCTCAGTCAAGGACCCTCCCAGCAGCAGCAGCTCAGCAGGGTGTGGCTGGGTGGCTGCAGTGAGGAGAGGCTCCTGAGGGCAAGTGGGCCCCTGTGTCCTGAGAAACATTGCCAGCCCACCCACCCATGTGCAGACCACCCGGCTCACCCACAGGTAGCCAGGCTGCAGGGACTCCCCACACCACAGGGGCTGGCTCTTACCAAAGTCAGTGTGGCTGCTCATCCATCCGATGGCTTTGAGGGACACCAGGGCCAACAGCCCTGAGCCCACGAAGGACCCGACACCAGAGAAGAAGAAGAAGAGGCCCATGATGGCACTCTGCATGGACCTGGGGGCGGCCGAGTAGGCGAACTCCAGACCTGGGGGGAGGGGAGGGCTTCGGGTCAGGGGCACCTGACACCTGGGGGCGCCCTGCCCCTCCTGGTGCAGGAAGGCAACTCTGCTCGGATGGGAGCCCAGGAGGTGACCACTTCCTTCCTGCAGCAGTGGCTGCTCGGCCCACATGACAGCTCCTGAAGCATCAGGAAGCACAAAACCAGCCCCACCTCAGACACACTGCGGACGGCTTGCTCCCAGAAGGTAACTACTCCCAGAACTTGTCAGAGAAACAACTCCCCCATGCCCAAGAGCTTTTTTCTTATTTATTTATTTTTAATATTTATTTTTTTTAGTTGTCATTGGACACAACACTTTTATCTATTTATTTATATGTGGTGCTGAGGATTGAACCCAGGGCCTCGCACGTGCTAGGCGAACATTCTACTGCTGAGCCAAAACCCCAGCCCATCAAGGGCTTTTTATTAAAAAATATTTTTTTAGCTGTAGGTGGACACAACACCTTTATTTTATTTTTATGTGGTGCTGAGGGTCGAACCCAGGGCCTCACATGTGCAAGGCAGGTGCTGCACCACTGAGCCCCAGCCTCAGCCCAAGGAAAGGGGACTCTCTTTCAGGATCCCTTGTCTTTGTTCCTAAGGTTTTGGACGGAACCCAGGGCCTCACACATGTTAGTCAAGTGCTCCACCACGGAGCTACAGGCCCAGCTCATTGACAGACCTTACAGGACCTCACTAAGGTACCCAGGCTGGGCTGGGACTTGTCATCGTCCTGCCTCAGGCTCCTGAGTCACTGGGATTAATGGCGTATGCCACTGTACCTGGCCAGGATTCCATTTCCATAAGTTTTAAACGACTTCAGCAGGCCCAGCTGTAAACTAAGATGCTTACAGCAGCAGGACTGAGAGGYGGGAACAGAAGGCCACTCTGCAGTGATGTACCCCTCACAGAGCCATCAGCCAGTGCTGCATGAGCCCCTCAGAGGTAAAGACCTCCGCTGCCCCCCAACCCTGGCCAGTGCTCCAGATTCTGGGAGTCACCGATTCCCACTTCCATCCAGTGGCCAGAATACAGAACATCCCTGACAGGGACACAGAGGCCTGTGAGCCAGACCTGCCACTTTACGCAAATCTGCGCCAACCACATGGAGCAGCAAGTGTGGCTTTCGTCCTCAGGATAAGGGGCACTCTGCAAACACCAGACCCAGAAGAAGCGATTTTCCCTCTCCACTCTGTGGCACCTAGAGGGGAGGCAGTGAGTGTCCATGCACCCTTGCTGCAGCTTCAGCACAAGCTCAGCAGCCATGTTCTAACCCACAGCTCCCTACAGGTGACACAGGAGCTCCTCAATTAGTAGAAACACCAAGTACTTCGGACACACATGAAGCTGTACCTGCTATGCTTGCAAATATCTCGCTGATGCCGATCAGCACATACTGTGGAACCTGCCACCAAATGGGCAAGTCCGCGGCATGGTACACCACTTTGCCGATGGTCTGATTGATGGTTTTCTCTTTAACAAGGTCCAGCCTTTTGCTTTCCAGGATTCCTAGAATTTATAAATGGGTTAGTGCAGCATCATTTATCAACATTTGTGATCAAACTAAAACTCTGCTTGCCAGACAGCTCTAGATGGTTCTGAAAAGCACCGGGAGGATGGCGCCCACCCAGCCACAGTGCCCGTGATTGAGGGGGCTGCAGCTTTCAGCTCCCCGGCAGGTTCCGAGTCCCCCTTCCCAACCCTGTCCACTGGTGCTTCTACAGCATCCTACACAAACAGGTTCTGCTCACTCATCCTCAAACACCTGACTGCTCGTGCACATTCTTGTGTCTGTTTTTAAAAGGAAGTGAGGGAATTCGCAGTTGTCCTGTTGGTGAAAAGACAGGACTTGAGGTGTCTTCCCCACCAGTGACAGCCTTTAGGTGACTCCGACACATTACCATCGTTATTACAACTGCTCATAGTGACACCCTCTTCCCTGCAGAGGCCAACTCAACTGAAACGCACAATCCACCTCTGCCCGCCCAGGACTGGGCCCAACTCAGGGGCAGACTAACTGGCCAGCACAGGCCAGCACACAAGAGCAGAGTGGCCACTCTTCTCGTGTCCGGGTGAGGGGAACATCAACTGGTAGTCACGGCCTTCTGTAAGAATCTCACCCACTTTCTTTTTTTTTTTTTTTTATTTAAGAACTTCTAATTGCAAATAAAATGGACCCCCGCTATCCAATGTTAATATAGAGATCTACTTATTTAAAAACACTATATGAGGGAGGGCAAGAGACTGGGAAGAAGGCAATGCAATGGATACACTAAAATCACTCCTTTTAAAGTGTGAGCAGGAGAAAGGACCAGAACACAATTTCCAGGGAGATAATGAATAAATTCCGGGATCTATGCTCCAAAATGTGCTCAGTTCGCTTCTCAACTGCACTGTCCCAGCAGAAACATCCTCCACATCCAGGCAGAGGCCTCCCGGCTAGGCCCAGCAGCTCCTCCATCAGGAAGCCCTGTGTGAGTGCTAAGATCACCAACAGCCTTCCTGAGATCCGAGAGCACCATGTTCCCATCAAGTCCATCAAGTCAGAAACCTGCAACAGCCCAGACAAGGACATACACCCTAGGCCACGTGGCCTGAAGGTCATCAGCAGAAGAGGCCAGCCATACTGTCCCAGGCAGGCATCATCGGGAAGAGGAGTAGGGGAAACGACGGGGCAAGAACCTGCTGCCAACCACAGGCGGGCACATGGAGGCCCTGGAGCTGGTGCAGTGAGCTGCAGTCAGAGATACCTCAAGTCTCAGTTGACCCGCAGAACCAAGCTGGGTCAGTCCTCCTTGCCAAGAGCCATCTTGCCACAAATGCTGCGTGCACTCCACAGAGAAAACATGAATCCCATATTCTTAAGACAAGCAAAGRACCTTGGAGCTGCTAGAAACACAGAGAATCTGCTGGAAACGCACCTGACCCATCCTCTCAGAACAAGCAGTCAATAAAAAGTAAGGCTTTCCTTGGTAAGAGGGTTGCAAATCAGACCCACATGCACAGCCAGGTGCAGATCTGAAGACAAGAAAGGATGCCTGGGGTCTCCACGCAGACAGCTCACAGTATCAAACAGCACGGCCCTGTCATCACCGCCTTGTTGTAACACACAGACATCATTAAGCCTGTGCTGCACCTTAGATTGCTGGCCAGGACCTGTGCCCCTGGTCGCCACAGACCCACTGGCTTACACTTGGCCTGCACCTCATCTGGGGAACCCCAAGGCCTGCAACTTAGGACTCCTGCTGTTAAAGCTGTGACTGGGCTGGGGAAGCAGCTCAGTTGTCAAGGTCCCGGGTTCCATCCCCAACGTGGCAGGAAGGCCTCAGAATATGACAACAGATAAATCACTTATTCAGCACCTGACTAAAGAGTTTTTAGAATGTCCATCAGGCCATAAAGGAAGTCTCAAAACCTCAAGACAGGACTTAAGAAAGCCACGATCTCACCAAACTCCCCAATAAAATGAACCATCATTTACAAAAGTATAGGTAAAAATATCAGTAAAAGTAAATGAAAAAATTCTCTGGAATTGTTCTTGGATCAAAAAGAAAACCACGGAACTGGAGATCATCTGGTAAGTGAAATAAGCCAGACCTAGAAAGTCAAAGGTTGAGCATTTTCTGAGACCTACATGGAAGCTAGTCCAAATAAGGGGGGGAGGGGAATGGGGCGGGGGAAATGCCATCAAAATAAAAGAAAGATCAGTGGACAGAAGGAGGAGACTGAGGGGGAGGAAAAGGGATGAGATAGGAAAAAACAGTGACCTGAATCTGACCTCGCTTTCCTATGCACACGTATGTCCACACCACAGGGAATCTTACCATCACGAATTTCCACAAGTCACTAAAAATAAGGGCAAGTGGGGGTGGGGGTGGGGGTGGAGGGTGGTGGTCCTGAGGACTGAATTAGAGCAAATCCTATTCTAAGATTTGGTAATTATGTCAAAATGAACCTTAATGTTATGTGTAACTATTATGAACCAATAAAAAATGGGGGGAAAAGGAAATCAAAATCAAGTTTCAACATTCACAGAAAATAAGAGACCAAAATAACAAATCAAAGTATACAATATCTGATTAAAGCAGTAATAACAGGCAAATTCTTAGCTTAAAATGTTTGCACTAATAAACAGAAAAAAATAAATAAAAGTGAACAAGGAATTTAACTTAATAAATGAGAAAAAAATACCAGAAACAAACCCAATGGAAAGTACTTCAACTAGAAGACACAGAGCCCAGAGAAACCACCTCCAAATCAGAGCACCTCTGACTCTCTGAAATCCTGCCAATGCCTCTCCTCTATTGTCTACACCTAAAACCTAATAAAACGATGTCAGTGCCTTAAACGAAGGTAAACATAGAAACAGGTAAACTGATAATCCAAGATACACTTGTAAGGAAATACAAAAGGCATACAAGTCTGGCAAGATGAACAAAGAGAGTATGTAAATACACGAGTCTGGAAATGAGGAAGGAAGCAACAGATTTACTTAAAAGACTATTTCTATCTCTTACACATTTTCCTAAAACTCAAGAAAATGCATGATTTAGTAGAGACTATTTTAAAAAAATTAGTGAATCATGAGAAAAAAAAATTGCATAAAATCAGAAAAGATTTTTTTAAAAAGTTACCAAACAAATGACCTCTTAGAGAGGAGATGGGCTCAGATGAATACTTTAGGCAAATATCTGAGGGACAACACAGAGGGAGAGCTCTCATGGCAGTCAACTATTCTAGGCCACAGGAAGGGACCTACCAACTGCTCAGTGACACATGGTCCAGACACTCCACCGGACAAAGCCACACAGACTCTGGCCAGGATGGAAGCAGACAGGCTGCACTGAAGGACATGCGGCCGATTCAGCCCTCTCAGCAAATGGCCTGCTCCAGAACTGCTCCAAGTGCTGACCACAGGAAGTGAGCACAGAATGACAGCAGCCCCAGTGAGACAGGAAGGAGAGATTCTCGTGCACCCCCCACCACCACCACCAGAGAATGATCCAGCACTCACTCCTGCCAAAAACCCCCAGTGAACCCGGGATGGAGGTTCTTGGTTTGCCACCACCAGAAATGCCACTGGAAACTCAGCAGCGAGCTGAAACCCGACTAGTAACATATGTTAAAACAATAATAAAACATTTTTTAATCCTTCAGGTAAGGAAAAAATAACAGAAGAAAACAATCAATACTGGCAAGGGAGCCATAAACCAGAATCTTAGACACAGCACTCACCCCTTCACATGATTCAACCCAAGGACATGCATGGGTAGGGTGAGCACACCACCTGTGTGGATAACCTCGGACCAACCATCATAGAAGGGAACACATTTTTAAATGACATAACATTAAAAATGGAATACACTAAAAGCATAATTTGAACATGTCATTGCTGACATGAAAAAATAGCTAAGTATATAATACATAAAAATGACACTATGAGCTTCGTGAATATCTTGTCCCTTTCTGCCCTGCAAAAGCAATTCAGTTATACACAGAAAGTGTTCTAGGACAATACAGATGCAGTGGACATGCTTAGATGGCAAAGATTATGGACTAATCTATTTCTAAAAACCGTGATTTGACTATATAACAACTTCAAAACCTTGCTACAGATTAGTGGTTAAATCTCTTCTAATGAAGGCTACGGCCAGAGAAGGCATTCAGAAGACTCTGCCTCAGATTCAGGATGCTTTCCCAGTCCAGAGCCCACCAGGGGAGTCCCGGGAACAGCAAGGGCTGGTGGCACCATGTGACGGTAGGTAAGAGACCAGCCTGCATAGGCTGGTCCACCAGGCCAGGTCCACACCCAGGGGACACACCCCAGCCAGGGAGAAAGGAGCTGAGGCCAGAACTGGGTCCCTACAGACAGCCGACAGACAAGCCTGCTCCTCCTCCAGATGACCCGTTAGTGATGCTGAAATTTACTCCGTATATCTCTTGTTTGCTTACATCACAGTTCTGAAGAGAAACTAACCTATAGAGAAAAACCTCACTCAGAGCACACTTTAATTATCTATTCACTCCAAAGATAAGGCAACTCTTCTAAAATGTCCTGGCTTCTTGAATACAGGCCTCCTAAGCCTCAGGACTAACTTCCTGACACCTGCTGAACACGGCTGCAGCTGTGCACTGCTGGCTTAGTAACACCAGCTTCCCTATCATGTAACTAAGTTATTTTATGGTTCAATGACCTTCAAGACTAATCAAGAAGGAACTTCAAAGCACATTTTAGGAGTCAGCAAAAGGCCAGCTTTATGAGCAAAGAGAAACAACATGTCAGAATGAGAACTAAAAAATGCAAAGGAGCCCTTCAAAAGAGCACTCCCTCCCTGGCACCTGCACATGTAGACATGAATTCCTGACATCTGGGAGCAGAAGCGTGACCTGAGCCTATAATAATTGATAAAGTCTTCCTCCCTAGGAAGATGCACAAAAATTTTCTATGAAAATTGGAAGGATTCTGGGGCCTTCTGAGGCTGACCCCTGCATGGAGATTCTCCTGCTGGAGAACCACAGAGCACTTCAGTTCAGCAGCACGCAGCCACACAGCAGCCGCTGCTCCAGACCAAACCAGGGGCAGAGGACGGCTCCTAAGAGCACACGTTTGGTTTCAGTTCTAGAAGGAAAGGAACAATGCATCTTGGAAGAAGATTGGAACTCTCATAGTGAAAAACTAGAAAATGGAGAACCATCCTAGGAAACGCTTGGTGGCCGACTTTYCCAGCACACACACTCCTGGGCCACATGCTGCAGAGCACACACCTGCACCACCTCAGCAGAGCAGTGGCAGGGGACAGAGGGGCTTACCTGCAGCGAAGGCAGAGCACATCACGAAGAACATGCCCACAGCGATCCTCTTCAGGGAGGACGGCAGCAGGCCGTGCCTCTTCAGGATGGGGTCCACCAGCTTATCCTTGAGCGGGATGAGCACCAGGATGAGCACAGCATCGAACATGGTGAGCCAGGCCGCTGGGAACTGCATTCAGAACACAGGGAGCGTCAGGCCCACAGCCCGAGCAGCCCTCCCTGACAGCCCAGAGGACAGTCCATCCCAACCCAGGGCACCCAGGGAAGCCACTCTCAGTTCGAAGACCTTGAACTGGGAACACTTATTTCTAAATGGATCTCTTGTTCTATGCTTGATAGGGGCCAGATAAAGATACTAATTGATGTGTGATTGCCATTGTCAATTCACTATGACAAATGGCCTGACCAATGGAAACATGTGCCGTGCGATGTGAAGGTTGAATCCCAGAAGAACGCTGTTAGTCTAGCGATGAATGGCAATGCATAAGACGTCCAAGTGTCCACCTCCGTCAGCCCAGTGGTCTTACCGTGTGAGGGTTGGTTGTGATGTTTGAGATCTCTGGAATCTTCAGATGAAGACTTTGTAAAACGTATGTGGTCTGCATCTGGGCACAGAAAGCAGCACTGTTACAAGTGAACCAGACATGGTGTCCAAGGACCGTGGCCATCTCCTCTCTAAACCAAGAGGGAGGCCTCATGGCAACTCTCAGAACAGATGGCGGTTCAAGTGAGAAGCAGAAAAGTCAACAATTTGTCACCATAGGAGTCCTTGAGATGATTTTGGAAAAGAACTGCCAGTTATCCAAATTGAAACTAAGTTAACGGAGGGCCCAGAAAACCAGAAGCACATTACTTCTCAGCTTCTTTTCTGAAAAGGGTTTCAAAATATTTACAGCAGCCAAATGAGTCTATAACTAAAAACAAAAGCTCTTCAGAGATTCATGGGGAAAAAAATCCCCTCAGTATTACACAGAACACATGAGGGCAGCGCGCCTGGGCAAGGGGCTGTCCAGCCGGCATGCACACCCACCTGGAAATACACTGTCCAGTAAGGGATCAGAGCCACGAACACAGGCACAATCTTGACGAGGGCTTTCACATCCTCCACTCTGTCCTCTGTGAACGGCCCTCCGCGAGACATCTTACATGAATCAAACAGACTTTGTTTAGAAGGTTGCTGAAAGACTCCAAGGCCTTCACTTTGGGAAACAAAATGAAGGAGTTAGTTTTCTTCCACCCCAGCAATCAAGTATTTGGTAACAATTTAAATTTGGGGTAGGAAACCAGCTCAGCACATGGATTCTGCTGTAGCTGTCCTATTACTAACTGTGCACACCACAATACAGCTACCAGAATTGTTTCTAAATGTGGCACAATGTGCTGGAGCAGCTGACAAAGGCCTTATGCTGGCCTGCCTACAGCTATAGCTGCTGTGACTGAGCAGGCCAGAGATGCAGCTGGACTGTAGTCCTAGGGCCCATCTAACCCAGCACTGGTCACCCTGCTCAGCAGGCTACTGTGCCAAGAGCCAGCAGTATCTACTCATCACTGAGTGGTGTTTAAAACAAACAAGCAACTGTGCTAGTCTTTTTTTTTTTTTAAATATTTATTTTTTAGTTTTAGGTGTACACAAAATCTTTATTTTATTTTTACGTGGTGCTGAGAATCGAACCCAGTGCCTCGTGCATGCCAAGTGAGCGCGCTACCACTTCAGCCACATCCCCAGCCCCCTGTGTTTACTTTTCTCTTGCTGTGCGGGGGTCCAACCTGGGGCTTCTCACATGCTGGGCATGTGCTCTCCCACTGAGATGCACCCCCAGGCCCAGGCTACTCAACATCAAGGCTGACAGCCGGTCTCATGTTCAGTATAGCCACACTGGCATCCTCTCCCAGATGAAGAGGAGGGAGGGGAGGGCAATGCCAGAGGAGGGCAAGGAGATGGAAAACAGGGAGGGCTTCTGTTCTTGGAGCCTTGAGCACTTGGCCACTCACCCTGACCATGAGCCTGAGAAGTACTACAGGATCTACTGACTCATTTCACAGAGGAACCTGGGGCACAGAGAGGGTAAGAAATGTGCCAGAGTCACAAGACTACAAGGCTTGGGGACTCGGTGCAAATCCAAGAAGCCTTGGCCATGGTAGACACCACTGCTCTCTGCTCTGACCTCCATGTCTCCCTCACACACGGGCACCACAGTCCAGCGCATGGCTGAGCATCCGGTCCTTACACCAGCACCTTTGTTTCCCCCTCTGGCTCTGATTTGTCCTTCATAACATGAACAGATCCCACCAGGCAGCTCCAGACTCCTTCCTATGCCCCAAGGCTGGGGGAGTAGGCGGGGAGGGGGACTGCACATTCTCGCTAATGCCAAAGATACCAGAAGACAGTCATCTTAAGAGCACCTTCTAATTCTGGGACTCAGAGAGAAATGGCAATCATCCACTTTCTAGTTTACAAACTCATGTCCCATTTTACTAAGTTACCCCTATTTAAAATTATTTTTAACTTATAAAGTTGATGTTTCATCTAGACATCCAGAATAGGGAAAAATAAAAAAGCTAAAAACTACAAATTAATATTTTAACCAAATTTATCAAAATCAATTCAATAAGTATTTTCTGAGTACCTACTATGCACCCAGGGCTGTTATGATGGGTGCTGGGACAATGGAACACTCTGAAGTCTTTAGGCACTAGTTAGATCCTACCAGAGATGGGCCACATCACGCTAAGTATGTTTCTCCAAAAACATTTAAATTCCAAACAACGAATGCCCTTTGCATGAAGAAGCTTCCATRTGGGTTACTAACTGGCTGCACTGCTTCTGCTTTTTATCACTTAAACATTTTAAAAACTGCAAAGTCAACACGCACCAAAACCCTTAGCTCACACATAGTTGGTACACTATTCAGTGACCTACCATAAAGTCACAGTCACATGTAACATCAGAACACAGACAAGAGCCCATGGTTTCTCCCTGGAAGCCCAGGGGCACAGAGCATGCTCTGTGGTAGAGGGCCATCAGTTCTCATGGGCTCTCCACTCAAGAAGGAGCAGATCTCAAGGAAGCACTCAGGCCCTTTAAACAGACCCTCAGTTCTCATTTAAAGTAAGCATTACATCATCTTCGAAACAAGAGAACCTAGACCAGAAACTGGGATTGGCCCAGATGAAGTTAAGAGTCTCACATGGAAACTGTGCGCACCCTACTTCCCTGGGCTCAAGTTGGTAGCTGCTACTGACTGGCCCCATCAGGGACTGGGCATCACACCTCAGACCGCACTGGGCCTCTCAGTCCACCTCCACTATGCAAAAAGAGAAGGCCTAGCAAGGTCACTGACCCTCCAATGTCACACAGCCAGTTCACACAAACAGCACAGGTTGACAATTCTTTAAACCATCAACGTTTCTCCAAGTAGCCCTCTGTAATTACTTTTGCCCAGGAAGACTCCAAACACAAAAGCAGCTCTAACTCTCTTCCCTGTGCCAGCCGGGCCCACTCAGGCACAGGAGACAAGGAGGGCGGCCTGGAAAGGGCTGCCTATGGCCTGGATATCAGCTCACAGAATCAACATCTGTGGCCAAGACCTCACTTCTGCCTAATGGGAGTAAGGCCTACAAAATGCTGGCATCTCCGCCAGGTACTGTGGCGCACGCCTATGATCCCAGAGGCTGGGGAGGCCGAGGTAGGCGGACCTCACGTTCAAAGCCAGCCTCACAACTTACAGAGGCCCTGAACAACTCAGCAAAACACTGTCTCTAAATAAAATACAAAAAAGGGACGAGAGAGATGTTGCTCAGTGGAAAGTGCCCCTGGGTTCAATTCCTAGTAACACCCCCSCCMCCCCMCCCCCMCCCCMCCCMCCTCCMCCCACCCCGGGCCAAATGCTAGTGACTGCTGCTGAGCAGGGCAGCTCTGGTTTTAAAGAGTGCCTGAGTGTGCTCCCACTACTAGAAGGTTTGAATCAGGTGTCTGAAAACTGTGGTGACTCCCAGCATCCCCACCTGGCCTGCTGAGAAGAGCACACCTGTCACACACCACACAAGGGGCCTAGAAGCAACCTCAGACATTCTGCCTGCAGCAAAAAGGTTGGTACTGGGGCTTTTTTGGTGTAGCTTCAGAACGACCAGGGGCAGGAGTTCCAGTCAGACATGGCCACTGAGGCCCCAAGCACAGGAGAAGACAAACTGCAGGCACACGAGGTGGACATTCGGCCTTTACCAGGGGCATCCAGCAGTGAGGTAYGCGGCCCCAAGGCCCAGTGAGAGACTGCTAGGCATCCCAGGCTGATGAAGAAATCCCTGGGGCTGACTGTAATGACCTGGGGACTCCTCTAGAGACAGAGTGTCCTACTTCTCAACTGTCCTGTCATGTCACAGAAACGCACAGCTTGAAGGGATGGTCTTACCACGTGAATGGCTAATGGGCAGCTCAACAAGTTAACAATGCAAAGATGACTGAGGTCTCTTCTTAAGCTAAGTTCCAGACTTTTCTTTATCAGCCTGCATTTGATGAGTACTTGTCACAGTATGAGGGGACATGGGGGGGGTTCCCGGGACACAGGACTTCCTGACTTAAGATGCCAGTTCCTGGAACACTCAGCACAAAGCTGAGGTGGTCTGGCTCCCTAAAATGCATCTCAAAACCCTGCTACTGGTCCTTCTGCTGGAGCAGCTGCCGCGGCCCCTGAAATTGGAACACCTGCTGACCTGACAGACTGCTTCTCTTGCCTCTGACAGAAAGAGACCAGCCAAGTAAACAGTGGCTTAGATGTTCATTAACGTATTTCAAGATGTTTCAACACGGAACATCAGGCATGCGGCATGTACTTGGTCTCTCTCTGCCCCGGGCTGCCCATCCTCACCTACAGGCTACACTAGACTGCTGGGGGCTTCCAGCTGCACTGGCAGTGGAATAAGTTGAACATGAGCTCCCCAGAGGCCCCACACCCTTTGCATGCCCGTCCCCGCCCCCAGATGAACACTAGAGACCAGACTCACTAGGGGACAGCAGGGAACAGTCCCTCAACACCCTGCCAAGCAGATGCAAGGCTAGAGACAGGACTCCCAAGTCACGCAGCCCCGTGCCCAGCACACACAACCACGTCATGTTAGCAGCTGTTCTGGTGACAGCAAGTGAACAGTCCCACAGCCCGAGAGGAGACTCAAGCACTTACCCGCTGCGGAGGCGCTCACCGCGCCTCTGGGAACAGCACGAGTATGTCAGTATCTTGAACATATCCGTGAAGGCGCTGCCGTCGGGGGGCTTGGTGATGAAAACACTCTGGCCACAGAGGAAGACCACGAATGCAATGGCAACGCAGACCGTGGGGATCAGGTACCCCGTGAAAAAGCTCATGTTCTGCTGAATGTAGGCAATGCCTCCTAGTGAAAGGATGGCTCCCAAGTTAATGCTCCAATAAAACCAATTAAAAAACCTCCTAGTGGCCTCTGGACCTCGATCTTTGACCTAAAATAACAGGAAGGAAAAAACACTTGAAAACAAGTGACAGTAACTTATTCCTTTATGTATCTTTTCTTTCTTTTCCTTCTTCTGAGTCAAGGTCTCACTGTGTTGCCCAGGCTGGCCTTGAACTCCAGGCTCAGGAGTCACCTTCCCAAGTAGCCAGGACCACAGTTGTGCCCATGGCAGCAGCAGGGCTGTAATAATCTTCACAGGTGAAAAAACAAGTATCATGAAATGCTTAAAATTACTGCTATCAACAACCTTTAAGAAATGCAACGCAATCAAAATGGTGCTTGCAGATACATTCAAGGGTCTCGTGACACTCACCTACTACCAACGCTGGGCTATCTAGGGTGGTTCCCCCAAATGCCAACAAATTCTACAGTACACTAAGTCTGTGGGTCACTTGCTGCAGGAACCCTGTAATGCTCCTAATGACAGAGGCACAGGACCACACTGCAGACCCCAAGTCACCTGGTCTGAGGCTGAGGTCTATGAGCCTGTGCTACAAGGCTGTGAGGTTCTTCTGCTCACAGGTAAGTTTCAGAAGTACTGCGCAGCTCATGCCTCACCCAGTTAAATGGCACAAAGCACCTGGCAAAGGCTTACCCCCTAGGGYTGGGCTGGGGCTCAGAGGAAGAGCACTTGCCTGGCATGTGTGAGGCACTGGGTTCCTTTCTCAGCACCACATTTAAAAAATAAATAAATAAAATAAAGGTTTTGTATCCACTTATAACTAAAAAATAAATAATAAAAAAAGAAAAGAAAAAAAAACGCTCACCTCCAAACACACTCCAGATAAATCCAAACACCCCTGCATTCTCCTGCCTTGGTGACTCTCCTGCCTCAATGTCTTGAGTGGCTGGATTACAGGCAAGGCCACTCCCCCCCACTTGATGCAATATTTTAAGCACTACTTTGTTTTTGTTTTTAAAATATTTTTAGTTGTCAATGGACCTTTATTTTATTTATTCATATGTGGTGCTGAGAATCAAACCCAGTGCCTCACACATGCTAGGCAAGCGCTGAACCCCAGCCCCACTACTTTATTTTTTAAATTAAAGTAGAGGTATAAAAGACATCATTAAAACAGAGTATTGGCCAAAATCCATTATTTTTAAGTCAAAATGGTTAAGCATACCTACCACACTGGCAGGTTGAATTAACTATATGGTTATATCATCTCAAATTAAAAACCTGCATTTTAAATAAGCCACATTCATTCTCAAGAGTTTAAACTTCCTCCTGTGCACATCAGAATAGAACAGAGGCTCTGAACCAAATTCAAGCATTGCCACTGAACAGTGTGGACTGAGAATTTCTTCCACAGGGGCACACTGCTTTTCCTGCCTTTAAATCTTATTGAACAGTTAGCATGATGTTATATTGGAGACTTACACAAAGAAAAATGTGAGCTGAAAAATGTGACCAAAAAAACCATAAGTGTTAAAAAAATAAAAAATAAAATAACCAGCTGGGCGTGGTGGCAGTGCTYGCCGGTGACCCCAGTGGCTTGGGAGGCTGAGGCGGGAGGATCATGAGTTCAAAGCCAACTTCAGCAATGGTGAGGTACTAAGCAACTCAGTGAGATCCTGCCTCTAAATAAATACAAAACAGTGCTGGGGGTGTGGCTCAGTGGTTGAGCACCTCTGAGTTCAATTTCGGTACCAAAAAAAAAGAAAAAGAAAAAGTAAGCAACAAAAGGGAAGAGGCCAGTCCACACACCAAATCTAACACAGAGAACTGATCCAGAATGCACGGGGCTTTCCGAGTGCCCACCGTGGCTCTGCACACAACCACAGGAAGGTGCAGCCCGTCTCCACATGAAGCAAGAACAAACCAACATCAGTTAGCCTAGCAGAATCCTAGCCTTGATATTCCACCCATCCCTGTTTTCTGGATAAACTTGTGGTCAGTTCATTTCAAATTCTAAGGGCTATCTGCCCAAATCAACTCATAACCAAAGCCCGTTCTTGGGGCCAAGTCACCACATACCAGCCATTCTGGCAACAACGGGAGGCTGGGAGGCTGGCAGACGCCCTGGGCACATCACCAGCCTCCTGCATCCGCTGACAGGCCACAGCCCCTACTTCCTACCAGCCATGCTGTGTCAACAAGTGTGCAACTGCCACCTACCCTGCCAGGGTAAGGCTTTTCAAAAGACTGGTCAAAGGACACCATCAAAATCAATTTGGAGAAGCTCAAAAGATGGAACTGAGCATCAGGTTAAATGGCTGGCTGACTTGGAAAAATCCCTTCAAATGCAGAGGAGGGCAATTTTCTCTACCAAAAAAAAAAAAAAAAAAAAAAAGAGCATTATTTGCTGTCTTCATCTTTCTGCACAATAAGATCTTCCTCCTTCAGACAACTACTCAATTACTGGATTCCCCCATCAAGAATGACCCCGACTTTGAAAAGGGGTAAACAACAGGGAAACGTAGGGCTGGCGGGATGTATATCAAAATAGTTCACCCCCTTGGACTCCCAGCTTACACACTCACTTTCAAAACCACCAGCCTGTCTCAAAGCCACACAGCCTGACCCCATTCACCTCTCCAATCAGAAGGTTTCTCAGGGGCCTATGTGGAAACCAACAGTCAGGAGAGAAAAAATACCTTAAAATGCAAGCAGGTTCCCTCCACATGAGAGGGCCTCCTGAATCCCACCAGGAACAGCAGGGACTGGCAGGGAACAAAGGCCCTGGCCTCAGGGTACTAATCCCAACATCTTCTGTGGAGGTACCATTTACATAAAATTTACCCCTTAAAAGCCTGGTCCAGGTRGGCAGTACAAACCACCACAACTACCCAGTGGGTCACACTTCCTTCACACTGCCAGCCCCTCCTTCAGCACCACTCCCAGGCCCCTTCAAGGCCATGGGCAACCACTGGCCCAACACTTCCTGTGCTAGATTTCCACATGAATGGGTATACATGGAATCCAGTGTCTGGCTTCCTCCAGATAATTAGTGTCATGTTGAGATTAATTAGCACTGCACTTCTTTTTTATGGCCCAATAATATTCCTCTGGCTTCCTCCAGATAATTAGTGTCATGTTGATATTAACCAGCACTTCACTTCTTTTTTTTTTTTTTAAAGATAGAGTGAGAGAGGAGAGAGAGAGAGAATTTTTAATATTTATTTTTTAGTTCTCGGCAGACACAACATCTTTGTTGGTATGTGGTGCTGAGAATTGAACCCGGGCCGCACGCATGCCAGGCGAGCGCGCTACCGCTTGAGCCACATCCCCAGCCCACTTCACTTCTTTTTTATGACCCAATAATATTCCTCTTTATGGCTATGCTGCATTTAGCTTATCCTTTCATTAGTTGACAGACATCCTCCTAACTTTTCAACTTACAGAAAAGTTTGGAAAAATCATAAAATGGACTCCTCTATACGCATCATATAGTTAACTTTTTTTTTCTAATGAAACCAGAATATTTCTGCCTGAACTATTTAGAAATAAGTTGTAGCACCATGAGTTCACCCACAAGATTCCATCACCCGTCTCCCAAAGCAAGGACATTCTTCTACACAATCGCAATGCCATCAGCACACCCAGAACTGTAACATCAAAGCATAAACCACCTGATGTGTGGTCGGTCAGCAGTCTAACATCTCATGTGCCCAGAAAGCACAGCTTCAGGAGACCCTCAGAAGCCCATCACTTTGACCTGGCAACCCCATAGCCTGTGTCAGTCCTTCTACCCAGGATGGTTCCTTTCTCACCAGAGTGCTACATGGGAAGAGGTGAGCCAGGTGGCTTTGGATGAGACATCTCCACAAGTAACTATGGGTCAAAATAGTGCTGGTTCTTCCAGACCACTCAGGACAAGCTCCTCAGGACCACTCAGGCGTTCTTTTAAGAAACACCAATCACTGATCCGCGGAGTAAATGGAGAGCACAACCTTCTAATTCAGACTATGTTCAAAACCTGTGGCCCTGTGCACTCGCTGAGCAGTGAGAGGGACAGGACTACAGTGTGCACACCACAAGCTGTGGGGCTTGGGTAAGACATGGGCAGCACACACAGGAAGAGGCATCGATAACCAGTCATGCTGCGCTTGCCAGGTGTGAAGAGAAGGGTAAAGGTGCTCCTGGCTCCGTCCTACACCTTTGCCTGGGGCTGGGAGATGATGGTACCAGGGCCAACGCCATGAACCCAGACCTAGAAGCAGCTTGGGTGCCATGGCCAAATTAAAGGTTAGGAAATCAGTGCTGGATGCCAGGATGAAAGCCTGACTTGACCACTCCCTACCTTGCACAAGAAAACCTTGTGCCTCCACTTCCCCATCTGTAAGATGAATTTAAGACTCCCATGCAGCTTAAAGCACATCACTGTACAAATAGTAACTTCAAAATTCAGTATGTCAGGCAGCTACCGTCTCATTCCCCTAGGAAGCGTCTCCTTTGTGTATGGACAACCTCACACAGATGCAGTCAAAGCTCAGACTCAAGGGCAAGCTCCTGAACCGGGGCTCGGCTAGGTATTAGCTGGGAAACTTTAGGTAAATGATTCAACCTCTCTGGCCTCAGCTTCCTCATTTATGAACTGGGCACTTTACCAGCAGGGAGTCACGTGGACTAAGTGAGTACTCAGAAAATGGCCTGGGCACAGTAAGCACTCATGAATGTCAGCAAGGGACACGCAGAGCCACTGAGAACAGACCCTAGAAGTCGTCTTCCCCACTGCAGGGGGCACTCATCAGCACTCCCTACCCACCCCAAACTTCTAACTCCTTTTCCCCTGTTTCCATTCTAGTTCAGGCATCTCCCACTGGCCAGCTACAGCAGACTTGGAACTGGAACCCTCCTGATACCACTGCCCACTATGCAGCAGACTCCTGCAATCTGTTTCTGAGACAGAGCAAGTAGGTGCTGGAAGCATCATCTTCATAACTACTACTCAATTCTGTCACTGCAGGGAATGAGAGCAGGAATGGGGAGGTCTGTGTTTTAATAAAACTTTATTAATGAAGAATCAAAGTTGAACTTCACCTGCCACAAAATACTCTTTCCAACCACTTAAAGATGTAATAACCATTCTTAGCAAACAAGTCCTCAAAAACAAGGAAGTAGGCCTGATTTGGCACCCAGGCCATTTGCTAGCACTTCCTTTCTCACCCAAAGCTCTGCATGACTGACTCCAACCTCAACTTTGGGCAGGGATGATTCACAGCAGCAGCTGGATGTGAACTCAAAAACTCTTCCCCTGGCCTTTCCTACCAAGCCCACCCCAAATCCTTTAAAAAAACAAGGATGTTCACCCAGACCATTTATTTGTAAATGAAGCCCAGCAATAACGGGGACTTTCCCTTGCTTTCTGGTCCCAGGGTCTTTGCACTTGTTGACCTCACTGTAGGGAAACCTTCAACAGCAGCGACCATTTCTATCCTTCAAGTCTCAAAGAGTGGCACCACAGAGAGAAGTCCTTTCTCTTTTAGACCACCCTGGCTATCACTTTATGCATGGATCCCAACCCGCTTTCCTAGCACCCACCACACCTGTCTATACTGCTTTCTCCTTGATCCTCCTTACACTAGAAGAAGMTCCCCTGTTCCTACAGTCCCTTCCACACGGGGCAGGGGCATGGGTAGATGCTGGTAGGTGAGGCAGTGGGGTGGGCCACGGCTCTCTGCTTTCGAGCTCTCTTCTCCAAGGCAGAGGAACCCCGCCTGGCCGCTGGGTCCCGTCCCGTCCCGTCCGCGCCAGGTGCACGGCAAGGCGGGGGTGCCCAGCCACCGGCTCGCGGGCTCCGCCAGCACCAGAACGCAGGTGCAGGGACGCGGCGCGCTCACCTGGTCCGCGCCAAAGGGCGTGATGTTGGCCTTGACGGTGGCCACACCCAGGCCCACGAGCACCAGCCCCGCGAAGGTGGCGGGCGCGCAGCGGCGGGCGGCGGCGTCGGGGCAGGCGTCACTGCCGTTGGCCGGCAGCGCCGAGCAGTTGAGCACCCGCGTCGGGCGCGGGGTCCCGCAGAGCGCGGCGCGAGCGGCGGGCGCGGCCAGCAGCGGGAAGGCCAGCATCCCCAGCAAGTAAAGCGCCAGGCTGAGAAGGATGGCGCGCGCCCGGCCGAGCCGCGCGTCGGCCAGCCAGCCGCCGAAGGGCGAGCCCAGGTAGGTGAGGCCCATGAAGAGCAGCAGCGCCTGGCTGGCCTGCGCGCCCTCCCAGCCGAAGGGCGAGCCGTTCAGGAACAGCACCAGGTTGGACGTGACGCCGTAGAAGGCGGCGCGCTCCAGCAGCTCGGTCAAAAGCACGGCCCCACACGCCGCGCGCCGGCCTGCGAACGCCCCGGCCGCCGCCCGCCGCGCGCCCAGCAGCGGCGCCCGCTCTCCCGCACCCTCCATGCGTCGCGCCGCTCCGGCCGCCGGCGGCTCCCGAGAAGCCCCGCGCCACCCCGGTGAGAGACCTCCGGGTCGCACCGCCCCATTGGGCGGGGTCGCTTCCGGTCCCGCCCCGGAAGTCGCGGAGGCGAACTGCGGAGCGTGCGCCGAAGTGCGGGGCCGGCTGGGCGGGGCGTGGGGAGAGCTGGTCCCGCTTCCCTGGCATGCTTGGTGCCACAGCCTGGCAGATTCTCGCGGGGCGGCGGGGAACCGCGACTGGCCGYGTCCTCCGGGCGCTCCCTGGACTCGCCATGCGCCTGATGTCAGCTTCACCCCGCCGCCCCAGGCTGTGCAGCAGAAGACGACTCCGACGTCGCCCCAGCACCCCTGAGCGGCGACTCGCCCCACGGAGAGCCACCGCTCCACCTGTTTCAGATCTTCCCGGAGACTGCCCCATACCACCCTGTCACTGCCCCAGACCATCCCTGTCACGCTCCCACTCGTCCGGATCGGTAGTTCCCGAGAAGCCCGCGCAGGCCATCCCATCCCATCACCCTTTCCCTATAGAACCTGCTGCACGTATTTCCCACAGGCCCAGGCGGCAGAGATCTTAGCTCTTGCTCCTGTTCCCAGGCCCTCGCATCTGGGAAAGTAGCACCTGGTGGAGTGGCAGCGTGTCCTTCAAAAGCAACCCCAAGCATGGCTTGGGAATTGGGACCCAGAGCTGCAGTGATTCAAATGGTGTGGGTAAGACCACTTCCCCATCCTTAATCCTTACCTTCAGGAAGGCTAGGATGGAGCCATTACCTGGAAATGGGCTCCTCGGTAGTCATCAGGGCTAGGTAATCCTGCCATTTAGGTAGCATGCATTGTCTTTAGTTATTAGTTATTTTAGTTATTTTAATGTCACAGCAGGCAATGACTATCTGAGCCTTTTTTTTTTTTTTTTTTTTTTTTGTGGTGGTGGGGATTGAACCCAGGGCCTTAATGCATGCAAGGCAAGCACTCTGCCAACTCAGTTACATCCCCAGCGCCCAGAACTGAGCCTTTTCCAACTGTTAGTACTAATTTGTTTTTCAGTAGTCAGCTCAAATGTCACTTACCCAATTCTCCAGACTACATCAACTGTCCCTTTTTTTATGTCATTTGTGCTCCCTGTACTTTTTTTTAATAACTCAAGAGTATTTATTTATTTTATGAAACCACTTAGGTCTGTTTTTGAAACTGGGTGGATTGGGATCTTGGTGATTTTGTTCCCTGTCATATTCCTGGAGTTTGTAGCACCTGCCAATAATAAATGTGTTTGGAGTTAACTGAATGAATGATAATTTGTTGAATTGCAAAAGATGAATGAACACCTTATGTTCACATTAGTACCCAAGCCCACTAATGATAAAAGCAAAACCCTCAAGATTTCTCTCCAGGGTCACATATTTAGTAGGTAAAGGAACTCTGGCTTAAGGAAAAGGCTTATTTTTAACCAATTCTTAGTCCCAGTACTTCTTCCAAGTTCCATCTAGTAGATGGACAGAATCTTTGAGGATTTGTTCTCAGTCTGATAGTCCTTACATGCTCAAACAAAGTTGAGAACTGAGTTAACATTAAACATGGAATAAAAGTGAAGTAATCTGATTTAATTATTTCCCAGTTAAAGATGTACATTTTGGATGGTAGCAGATAACCTGGTTGGGTTATTCATTTGAGAAATATAACACTAAGAAAAAAATGGTGGGGAGCAGTCTCCAGGTTCAGTGTATACTGAGGCATTGTGAGCAGTGTTCTGAGGTCCTATAGTTGGTACCTTGAGGTTGCAAAACAAATCCAGCATGTAAAAATATTTTGTTTTGATTGCAATGTTTAGGGTGAGRAGTGAGCAAAGAAGACATACTGCAAGATCCTGTTTATTTATTTATTTTTGGTACCAGGGAATGAACCCAGGGGCACATAGTCACTGTGCTACATCCCTAGCCCTTTATTAAAAAAAAAAAAATGTATATTTTATTTAGAGACAGATTCTCACTAAGTTGCTTAGGGCTTTACAATACTGCTGAGTCTGATTGTGAACTTGGGATCCTCCTACCTCATCCTCCCCATCTGTCACCATGCCCAGCTTCAAGATCCCGTTTATATGAAATGTGTGGAGCAGGCAAATATATAGAGATGAAATGCAGATTAGTGCTATGGTTGGCACATTGGTGGGCGGTAAGATTGGGGAGTGATTGATAAAGAGCATGGTGGGTTTTTTTAGGGTGATGAAAATGTTCTAAGATTGATTGTGGTGATGGTAGCACAACTTTGACTAAGAGCCATTGAGTTGTGTCCTTTAAATGGACAAATTGTGTAATACATGAATCTTGTCTCAATGAAGCTGTTACCAAAGAAAGTGAACTAAAAGTTAATGGAGAGGTTTCACATATAAATTTGGATATTCTGTTGCCCTTATGGGTTAAAACGGGAGTTGAAGCAACACTGGGGCTTGTGGTTACCTGTTACTCTAGTGCCCCCACCCTGACCCCTGGGAACTATGTCTCATGGCATTCAAGTCTGCAGATGGTCCCCCTAGGTCACAGTGCCACATGGCTGAACCTGTGATCTGCTTTGACCAAGAGAATGCCACAGAAGAGTCCTAGACAGGTAGGAGCCTAAGCCTTGAGGAGGTCTGGCAGGCTCCGCTCTTGGGCCTTGTGCCCTGAGCCACTGTGCTAGAAGTCAGCCGGCTTGCTCCAGAKGTCCCACATTGAGGGAAATTCACAGCATCTGGGAGGAGGTCTTTGTCCCGGCATCCCAGCTAACTGCCAGGTGTATGCAGCCATATGGGTAGCTCCCAGGAAGCCTCAACCCAGAGTGCAGAACTATGAACAAGACGATTATCATTTAACCACCACGGTTTGGGAGCTTGTGTTACATTGCAACAGAAGATGGAATGTACCTGCCTTCTTGTTTGACCACAGTCCATTGGCACCAGGTCTCAGCCACTGTGAGGAATTATTTTCCATATCTGCACAGTCCAATGAAGTAGCCACTAGCCACGCATGGCTGGCTACCTAAACTTAAATCAGTTGAAATTAAATAAAATGAAAAATTATCTTCCTCGGTCACACTGGCCATGCTTCACTGTCTGGGTACATGTGACTAATGGTGACCACAGTGGCCAACATAGCAGCTGTTGGCCACTGTGGGTGTGACTGATTACTTACTACTTATCAACACCCACTTTCTTACTCCAGAAAGAATCCAGATTCCATTCAGGTATTTATTCTAACCTCCTCACTACCCCTTCACACCAGCTAGTCCTGTAACTCAGAAGAAACTCACCTTTGCCCATGGTCTGACTGGTCAGTAGCAGTGCTCAGCCCTGTGCCTTTACCATGACTGGTTCAGAACCCAGGCTCTGACCACTCAGGACAAGGCACTTCCTTGCTTGCATTGTGGCCTGTCATTGGACACATGTCATACCTGGTTGGACTGTGACAAGAATTACTGCTCCGTTACAGCAAGGGATGCTGCTTCCAGGGTGGAGGTGAACTAGAAGGCCTGTGACCCTAATAGCTCTTGGCAGGTGTTGGACAACTGTCTGTGCAATAAGCCGGGAAGGATGAAACCAACTCAGTGGACAGCACTGTGAAGAATCTGGGAATAGCTGGATAATAAGAGATAATAAATGTACGTTGTTTCAGCCACTGTGTTGGGGTTTTTTTCTTCTTTGTAGCCAAAAGCCACCTACCAAGATTCTGTCCTAAAATGGGAAAAATAAGAGGACGAGAGAGGGCAGTCTGACTTTTTGTCACTAATGCCTGGTGCAGTTCATGGAATTTTCTACCTGGTCCTTGTAAGCACTGAGTTTGCGACTCATGTCCTTGGCCCCTGGGATCGGATCACTGAAGACTTCACCCTTTGTTGGGTGTACTTGCAATATACTTGCAGTTTATTGGAGAGTAATCGTGTGGGTGCCTTGCAACTAAAATAATCAAATAAGCGACCTACTGGAACAGCAGGCAGCATTGTCTTGAAAGCATGCTGTGGTAGGTGGCTGCTCATCTCCAGGACCTGCAAAGTACACTGAAATTGGAAATGCACTGTTGGCTCTAGAATGCACAGCCTTTCATTTTTCTGATGGCAACTGTCTTGTTCCTGATCCTTGTCTTTTGCAGATCTCAAAAGGATGCTGTTTGCTGTGATGAATTCAAGAACCCATTAGGGTTTGCCTAACTCTGACTTCTTCATGACATCTGTGCTTGTTGCTTCACGTTCTGGTTGATTGCACATCCCTAGCTGCCGGTCAGTTGCATCCCCTGATTCACAGTTTCGACTTCCTCAAAGCTCTGGTTCCAGAGCAGCCATCAGGGATCCTGTACCACCCATCCGCTGAACTCCTACCCAGAAGTCATGTCTGAGGGCTCAACCGCAGCCCAGCACTTCTGCCTGCCTGGATTTCCCAGTTGCTGGGGAGCAGCGCAGACAGGTCCAGCTCATCTTCCCCAATCAGGACAGCACACAGTCATGGGCCACGTAGAAGCAGAAAAATGCCAGAGTGAAGTAAGTCAAGAAACCAAGCAGTGGAGGGGAGCCGGTCTCACATCTTGGGCCCAGTCAGGGCCACGTGAAGCTGTGTGTGTTGATTCAGTGCTCAGGATGCCTTGGGCTTGCTTGTACAGAGGATATGAGACTGTCTGTTCAAGGAGATGGATTCTGATTGACATTTTGTGTATGGGGTGCACTAATTTTGGGCCTGTGAGTAGAAACGTCTACTTCTTGGGTACTTTTTCTCCTGAGTTTTAAAAACCCACAAGACATCAGCACATATCAGGCATTCACCACTGCGGGGGCAGTGGTAGAAGGGAGAGCAAGAGAGTAAGTGAAAGAAAAGGAACTCGTGCTTCTATAGCAAGGAGGCAACCCGTTAACAAGTGTGCACCACACCTGCCCACCCTGACTAACTTCCGCTTTAAACTTCTCAGTCACCTTAGTCTATATTGTAATCATAAAACAGATCAAGCTGTAAACACACTCATTCTGTGGGTTTG